ATAAGTCTGAGTTAACTAGCTGAAAAAAAAAAAAGGAAGGGCATAACAGGAGTGGGGGTGAAAAGCAATAGCAGTGAAGGTGTTGATTGTCTACGCTACAGGCAACTTCTTCCTAAATCCTTCTGGCTATAAGGAATTACCTGGAAAATTCATAGGTCATGATACTGCCATGGTAATGGTTGTTGAGAGAAGAAAACAAAAAAAGGATTCAATTCATGAAATATTAAAAATGCAAGTGAGCTGACCTTTTAACCAATCTATACTATTAAGGGATTAAATAAGTAAATTCTTGGTAATTAGATCCCTAGGGAGAATTTGATTTGCATATAGATGTGATATGTTTAGCAATTCAATACAGGTTTTGCACTGGCCAGCACTGAGCTGGGTCTCAGGTAGGTGATAAAATAAACTAGATAGGGTGACACCATTAGGCTAATTTTTATCATCTACCATCAAGGGAACATTAAAATCTGTTCATTTTGAGTTACTAAATGGCTCCTGCAAGTATTGTGAAAGAAAGCAGTACAGTAGTGACTTCTGTTCTCATGTGACCTTTATCCAAAGTTGTAAGTCTCTCTCAGGAATATTGATTTTAACACCTATCTCCATAGGGCTGAGGGCAAGGGTGTATTTTATCTTTTTTAGACAGATGGGAAACCTGAGCTGGAAATAATTAGATTGCTTGCTGAAGATTTTACATCCCCACCTCCCCCCACCCCCGCAAAAAAAAAAAAAATGAAGCAGATACAATTTTAACTGTACTAGAGCCTCTGAAGGTATTGGTGTCTTAGCCAAATTCACTTGGCTATTTCTCCATTTCATTCTTTGAGATTTCTTGTGTAGACCTTAATTTTTACTTAAAAAAAAAAAAACTTAGCAATTGATATCTGTATAGCATACATTCTTACTTTCTGGTATTTTTTATAGAAAAAAATCTTAGAAGTTGAATTGCTGAATAAAAGGGAATGCGCATTTAGAACTTTGACAGGTATCCTCAAATTGATCTTAAAAAAAAAAAAAAATACAGTTGACCTGGGTTTGAACTGTATGGGCCCACTTCTACTTGGAATTTTTTCAATAAACATTGTAAATGTAATTTTTCTTCCATATGATTTTCTTAACATTTTCTTTTCTCTAGCTTATTTTATTGTATGAATATAGTATATAACACATATTCATATGAAATATGTGCTAATCAACTTTATGTTATTGGTGAGGCTTCTGGTCAACAATAGGCTGTTACTAGTTAAGTTTTTGGGGAGTCAAAAACTTATACACAGATTTTCCACTACATGAAAGTCAGAGCCCCTAAC